GGCCCCAGCCACAACGACCCCAACTGGTGTTCATTGCTCATGCAGGGCAGGGGGAGCCCACCGCCACAATCCCCAATTTGATTTAATCAAGGAGAGAGCAGAAGAGCTGCATTATGCCTGCTCCAGCCCCAGCCCCACACACCCTCCCCATCTCTTCCCCAAACAGCCGGTTATCGATGGCTTTATTAAATTCTGCTTTTTTTTTTTTTCCCCTCCTGCCCTTGACTAGAGGGTTTACGAGCAAGACCAACATGGGCAAGCCCTTAAATTCAAGCAACATGACTTGCTTGTAAGTCACCACACCCCACACCCTCCCTGGCACTGTTTTGCACCACAGCCACGCAGCACCCTGCCAAGTCACCGGCTTTCACCGCGGGCTGCCACGGAAGTCCAGCTTATGTAAGAAGGAACAAACTAGCTTTTCTTCACCACCCTTTCAACGCTGCCATTCATCCCCTGCCCTCCATCCCCCCAGTGCCACCTTGAGGGACACAAAACACACAGCCAAAACACGTCATCCCACATGTTATCCCAGGGCAAATTTTTGTTGTCCGTGGGTAGTGGGTCTACAATTTTTTCCCCCTAAACCACAAGTGAATTAAAGGGTTAAGGCAAAAACTACTGAAATGCAAAGGTACCCATGTGTTAAGGACACTCCATACCCTGGCAAAGCCACGTCGCTGCTCAAAAAGCAAAGAGCTCTAAGGCCTGACAGTCCTTCCCTGGAGCACGCAGGGTCTGCAGGGCCAGGTCACACGCATCCCACTGTAGTAGTGAATCCAGCACCAAACAGCAAGGGACCGAATCTGTTCAATGGTTGTGTAAAGGCTTCGGCTTCGACGCTGAGCGAGCACTAAAGCTGGTCGCAGTTCTACCCAGCTGGAAACAGCTTGGTCAGTCCCCAGGTTATTTTTGCATCTGTGCATCGGTTCTGCCTGGTTAGAGACTCTGTGCTGACTTTGGCCAAGTGGTCAACCCCAGGGAAAAGCAAGCCGGGGGGGAACAGGACATAACTTTGCAGGCTGAGCATGAAATGACAAAGCCAGGTTTATTCAGACTCAAATAGGTCACTTCAAAGCATTTTTCCACCCCTTATAAAATCAGTACTAGTATCATAACCATCTACACTCTGGGATTTTTAGCCCTCTTCTAACTTCAGGCCAGCACAGATGCATACCGCTTGCCCTTTGCAATCATTCTGCTATTATTTGTCAAATACCAAATTCCAGCTCCTTTAGGAAACCAGGGGGTAAGGAAGCATGGCTGATTGAACTCTTTGTCCTTCTCTCCCCCCCACTCCTCCCCCTTTTACATCATAAGAACAGAGCAAGAAACCCACAAAAAATGCACATTCCCAAAGCCAGAGGCTACGTCCCAGTTCTGGCAACCCAGTGGTCTTACCACAAAGCTCAGCACAGCCTGGACCCCCTTTGACTTCTTAACAATACATTCACAGTGGTGGAAGGGTGGGGAGGGAGGGCTTCAAAAGAAAAGAGCAGCAAGGAACAAGCTATTTGGAACCCAGAAGCCATCCACTGCAACGTGAACCCTCTCCATCTGAGCTTTACTGCTCCTCCCGGCAAGCGCTTTGACGCGTGGCAATGGGAAACGAGGAGAGAGCCAACAGCACCCAGCACGTTGTTTGGGTATCGGTCTACAAACATTAAAATGTCTTAAATGTCAACGCCCGCTGGACTCGATGGGGTGAAAGAGGGAAAGTACAGAAGACAGAGCCCTCAGTGGCCTTATGCCATCCATCCTCCTGACCGCAGCTCTTATGGAGGCTGATGAAGCCATTGGGATGCAGGCAGCCTGCTGGCAGCTCGCTGAACTTTGCCTATGGGGTGTTTTGGACCTTAGCATGACATAGGGTGGTATTAGCACATAATGCTGGAATTTACCCCCTTTATCCAGCTTTGGATGGGGAGAGAGGAGAGAAGTCAGTGCGTTCAAAGTCCCCTCTCTACCCAATGTCCGCAAGGGAAGGGAGGGCTTTTTGTTCTATTGCTGTTAAATTACAAGGCAGCCATAAGGAGAGGATACGCTCTCCCATCACATGGAGCAGCTGCTGTGCAGGATTTGCAGCCATTTTGCACCTTCTCTGCCAATTGCACAACCAGGATCCTGCTGCCAAAAATGATGGTAACACTCTGCAACCCATTCCTCTTCTGCCCCGGATGACTGACTGACAGCTTGTGAACTTGAAAAGATGCTCCCAGGCTCTTGTCTGGGACAAGCCATGGCCATGAATCACAGGACAACTGCAGTTGAGAAGGCAGCAGCCAGTTTGCGGGGGGAGCCGGTGTCATAGGGGTACGTCGGCCAAGTGCTGGTTGGAGGGGCAGGAAGAGACAGGACCAGATCAAGAGGTGCAGGGGAAGCAGCTGGAAGGAAGTTTGCACAGCAATTGTGCTACGGTCCCAGCCACCCACCTCTACACATACTAAACATCAATTAAATTTAAATTAAAAGATAAAAAAATAAACACTTTGTAAAGACAAGAGATGAAAACATCCATGCTGTATCTTTGAAGAGTGAGATGAACCCACCCTGAAGAAATGTAAATGTTGCAGGAACCAAGAAACTCCCGGGATTACTCATTACAGGAGATGAGATTCTCAACATCTTTCTGTTTTGCAGCAATTAGCTGGTAACTGGAAAAAAAAATTGAACAGATCAACACTTTTCTATTATTAGTTTTAAATAATGACTCAGAAACAGGCACTTCCTTTTTCCCCAAGCTATGAAAAGTTAAGCACCAAGACCCTGATCATGGCTTCAGGCTCATTTAAACTGCAAATATCTCTGCAGAAATTACAGGAAAGTGGTGTGAATACAATGAGAAACAAACCATTCGTTTCGAGCTCAACTACTAAATTACCTTTCATTTATAGGTTAAAAAGCTTGATATAGCATATTTGCTAGGAAGAGCATGCAATGCCATGAAGATGTATGTGTACAGAGGTTGGGGAAGCAAGGAGCGAGAGGGGAAGTCATGCCTGCTGATGGTCTCGGAGAGAAACTGAGTAAAAGGCCAATATAAAGAAGTCTGCCCAAAACACAAGGCTGCCTCCCAAGGCCTGACCCTAGACCTTAACCACTGATACCATCCACAGCCCAGGGAAATAATTAAGCATTTCAGCTCTAAGAGAGTTGCCTGCCCAAACTGCTATGCAGACAGTTTTTGCAGAGCAATTCAGAGAGAAAAAGAGAAGCAGATTCTGCTGATGAGACACAAAAAGTCTCTCTAAAAGCATTAATTTCCTTTGGGAAGCAGCCCACATGCTCCTAGCACAGTGGGGAACCATCACCCCTGCAGCAGGCCCCAGCAAGACAGATGATTAAATCTGCATCGGTCATTTGGTATAAACAGAAAAGCAGCGGATGAGGATGCAGCGTCACGAGCAGTAGCTGGCACTCTGAAAGCAAATGAACTTTGAGTTCACCTTGACGCCTGCTGATTGAAAGAAACCTTTCGCATCATCTTCTTCCAGGGATAAGCATCTGCATCCCTGCCATGTCCCCTTAAAGCATGCATAGGAATGAGGACATAGCACACTTCAAGGGACCTGTACTGTATGTAGCAGCGGCCGGGCCACGCAGCAGCACACCACCTCCCCATCCTGCAGCCAGCTGCGATATGGTGACCCGTGTTTCTGCCTAAGCTCTGTGTGTGCAGTGTGAAGCCTGGATGCCAACTTCTGGACAGCACATCCATCCACGAGCACGCTCTGCCCATCCAGGTTGGCCACAACCCCCAAGAACTTCAGGCACCATCCTGGAATGGGACATGTCATGGACGACGCTCCACACTAGCAAGGTATACAAGGGCTGAGGAACCTCAGCTTTTTGGAAAGTAAAGTCCCACCACCACTTTGCCAAAAAGTGAAGCAGTGCAGAGGTACTGCGTTGGCCACGTGCACATCCTGAAACACCCCACGGGGCTTGGCATCACTGCTCCCAACCGCCATTTCCTTCCTGTGACCCTGGCGTCACGCTCACCAGCTGTGAGCAGCGCTCGTCACCGGAGCACTGGTATTCTTCCCGGGCTGTTTGGCAGAATCAGGCACCGACCCATCCGATCTGCCTTGAGCCCAGCTCAGAGCGATCACCAGCAGCCGTGGCTGGCGAAGGCACCACCGACAAACCCAGGTCCTAAAGAGATCTGAGTGCTCTGCAAACCTCAGACCTCTGAAACAGCAGCCCTGAGACAACACAGAGGCAACTGCATAATTTCTTGGGTTTTTCTTTTACTTTTTTTTTATTCCTTCCCTTCCTTTGCCACGCCACACGCATTGTATTAAATATCTTAAATATATTAATTTTTAAAAAGTATTAATAAAAAGCTACTGAAGGACACAGCTGGCAAAGTGACCAAGGGCAGCGACCCATTGCAAAACATGGGGACATTTTAAAAAACAGAAAACAAGTGATAACAAAAAAAACTGGCATTTTTTGCATATGCACAGCTGGCTGGAATACCCTGGACTCTGGCATTATTGCAAAAATGGAAGGGGAAGCGGTAGAAAAAATATATTCCATTGTACCAACCTGTATGGGGAAGGGAGTTAAGAGCAAAAATGAGGAGGCTTTAAACATTTTTGGTATTTCAGATGTTCCCTCCCACACCCACTGCCCAATCACTTTTAGTCTTTAAGCAAGTTTTCTGGCTTGGGGTAGTCAAAGAGTACAAAATCTGCTTCATAAAGCTTGTAGAGCTGCTGCCTCCAAGCCAGTGGGATTTTGGCAAACCAATTGTCTTCCCAGCTGCTGGCAGTCCTGTTCCGGTAGCTGGGGGGGAAGCGAAGCAGCCTGTCCACTTTGAGGAGCTGCAATAGATAAGCAGCATCCTCATCCAGCGTCTCCAGCTTTCCGATAAAATCGTAGTCTATCTGGCACGGATGGCACAGGCGGTAAACCTGCCTCCAGTGCTCATTGAAGGGGGCCATCTTCTCTGTCCTGGGATCCAGTAAGTACTGGATGAAGTCAGAAAAGGAGACTTTGAGGCCTGCCCCGAAGGCCTCACTTACGGAGGTGGGAAGGTTGGTATGGTTGGAGTACAGCTTTAACATGGGGATGGCAAAACGCCGGTAGAACTCCTCATTCTCCAACTCAAATTTGCTGCGAAAGGCAGAGATGAGGCGAACAAAAGGATCTCGTACAAAGAGGAACTTAGTGTACTTCTTCAGCTTGATCTTCATGAGGTGCCGGGAGAACTTCCCATAACGGCGCCAGAATTTGTTGAAGGTCAAGTGGGTGCTGGTGTTGTGGACATGTTCCCGGGGGATATCCAGAGGGTTCTGGT